GAAAAGAGATCTTCAAACTTTTAAAGCTTATTTTATTGAAACAATTTTTTTTTTTCAAAGCCAAATTCATTTAACTTTTTGTGTTTAATATTTGGAAACGGGGTTATTGGATTACGGTTAGGGGCTATACAACTGCACTGATTTTTCATGAAGGTCTGATTGTACTAAACTAATCTCTGCCAGATTATATGATGAAATGGCCGTTAAATGCAAATGTTTCTAAGCCTTATTTTGAGGGAGGGGAGAGCTTATCCCTTTATCCTAGAAATTGTGAACAAAATAAAATTAAAATCTAATGCTTATTTTTCATAGATTGTTAATAATAACTGATCATAGCTAATTCTTATGTCTGTTACTAAATTCAATTTGTTATTCTAGTTGAACATTAATAGTGAATATAATAAATATTTCGATTTTCAAGAAAGATTCCTTGTTTCTTCCTTTAGTTTACTCATTATTTTGAGATTTTTCAAACCACAGCATTTTTCTCTGAACCATGCTTTGCCTATATGATTATATTTCCAGGAGCTGTTACAAATTAATCATTTTTGCTATGCTCCTTCTTTTATGAGAAGTGTTTGTTTAACTTGCCATATATAAACAGACGTTTAAGGATTAACTTTCATGTGAAAAACTGCCTCCTAGTTAAGTCTTTTTAATCACATCTCTAGAGGAAAGCAAGCTAGCTTCAGATGTTTTTTTCTTTCTTTTCTTTCTTCAAGAATTTAAAATTGACTGTTTGTATATTATAACATAGAGAAGTTTGTAAATGCATGCATTCTCCTCAGCCTCACACACTGCAAATAAATCCATGCTTGTGCAAGATTTAAAGGACATAAAGTTATACAGTAAAACACAGATAAATTATTTGCCTTGAAAGTGACTATGTAAGGAGCATCTTTAAATTATCAATAGCCATAGCATCAGGATAGATAGACATTTTCCTGTTCCTCTGACTATCTCTCCCCAAACCCTCCCACAGGGAGTGCACCTCGGGGCCCATATTTACTTTTTTGCATTGTATTTGCTGTTTTTTGTATGCAGTGAAAAGAAGCAGACCTGCTGCATGCTGGAAACCATAAAATCATTTATAGCCATTCTTTCCTGTTTTCTTTCCTAATTCTATCCTCGTTTTAAAAGACAAAGTTATATACCATTTTACACTTTAAAAGTTGTTTGGTTTAACATTTATGGAGGCCTTAAAATGTCAGCTAACGTGTTAATTGGTGATGTTATTAAAATACGTAGGACATGGTCTTCGCTCCATTGAAGGTCACAGCCTGGTGGGAACACGAACATGCCATTCAGTTGTCATAGGTGCTGTTATACAGGTAGGAGGACACATTCGAGGGACAAAAGTGGGAGTGTTCACTTCCTCCTAGGGGGTGGGGAAGTCTTCCAGAGGTGGTGGCGCTAGATCAGAATTGAAATGATTGGGCGCATTCAAGACAGGCGATTGAGGAGGGGGCATTTAGGGCAGAGGGAGGAGCCTCTGGCAGGAGGGGCAAGCGAGAAGGTTGGACAGCATCATGCAGGGGTCTTCTCTGATACATATAGAAGTTTGGACTTTACGCTGCAGGCAGAAAAAAAAAAAAAGATACAAATGAATTCATTTACAAGACTGAAAAGGAACCACAGACCTAGAAAACAAACTTATGTTACCAAAGGGGAAAGAGGGGAATAGGATACATTAGGAGTGTGGAATTAAAATATACATACTTCTATGTACAAAACAGCCAAGCACAGGAAAGTATACTCAATATTTTGTAATAACCTTTAAGGGAAAGGAACCTGAAAAAGAATATGTGTGTGTGTGTGTGTGTGTGTGTGTGTGTGTGTGTGTGTGTGTGTGTATAAGTGAATCACTTTGCTGTATACCTGAAACTAACACAGCATTGTAAATCAGCTATACATCGATTAAAAAAAAAAGAGAGAACTAAGGAAGGATTTAAGCAGTGGCATAATGTAATCAGGTTTTCATTTTAGAAAATTACTCTAGTAACCATGTGAAGGAATATTAGATTATTTATGCTTTTTAGAAACAGCCTGATAGAACATAAGTAGACTAAACATTAACTTTTCTTCCTCATTGCCTTCAACAGAACTTTACAAAAATCTTAAAACACCCACTTTTATAATTTGAATTGCCAAAAGATGTGTTCTCTGGGTGAGTTATATTTTTATAGCATTTCAAGACTTTGTGATCAAGTTTAAGAATACAGACTTTCTACCTTGGGTAACTTTGGATGCTGCAGCAGGGCAGCTCACCACTTAACTCTTCCTTATTAATACCCTTTTCTTTCGCAGTCTTTTGCATCTAGTTGCCCAAGGCAAATGCTTACACTTTCCCTTGGTTCTTTTCTCTCTCTTGCCCTTCACGTCTATCAGCGAGGCCGGTAGATTCTGCCTCCAAAATAACGTCTCAAATTCCTCTACTTCTGTCGGTCTCAGTGATGCTACAACCTTAGTTCTATCCTCCCTGGTCTCTCCCTGGGACTCCTGCAGCAGCCTCCTAATTGGTCCTCCACTCTATCTCACCCATTTCCCCATTCTCACTGTCCCACTTCAGACAGTTCACTAGCTTTTTGCACTTAGAATAAAAAGCGAGCTCCCCTTTGTGGCCAGCATCGCCTGGCTGTTGTCTCCCTTCACCTCATCTCTTGACACTCTCCTTCTGCTGCAGCTGTTATTTGCTCTCACAGAGGCCTGCAAACACTTATTCACTTCTTCCAAGAAGCTCTTATAATTTGGTGCCTGACAAATACTCCGTGAACTTAATAGCGTAACGATATCATAATAACACTTTCTGCCATTTATTAAATATCTTCTGTAATCCAGATAGTGTGCTAAGTGCTCTCCAGGCATTATCTTATAATTAAACTAGATGCAACAAGCTTGTGAAGTTGGCATTATTATTTCCATATTTTAGGGGAGGAAACTGGGCACAGAGAGCTGAAGTAACTTACTCAGATTTATACTGCTAGTGTGTAGCGGAGCCTGCCTTGAAGTCTGTCTGTCGGATTCTAAGTCGGGCTTTATGGTACTGAAGTTTCAAAAGTGTTTTGTTATCATTAAATTTTAATGCTCTCACAATTCCTGGAGGACCATCTGAGAGCAGGCTCTAGAGGGAATCTTTTAATGAAACTGAAAGTAAACATTAGTGTGACCTAACTACCATATTAGAGACAACAAACTTTTCTCAATATTTTATGTCTTGTTGATAATAAAAGACAGTGTAGTGTAAAAGTCTGGAAGTAAACTCTGGAGTTCAAGCAAAAATGGGTTTAATCTCAGCATCTTCTTTTCATTCATATGGATCTCCATATCATATGTGCCAGGTAATGTTCTAGGTATTTGAGACACATCAGTGTGCAGTCCAGCGGGATGGATATAAAATGTTGGTTCTGTAAGCTGTTTTTGCCCTGGAGATTCACTGTAGCATTACTGATCTTCTGTGAATTCAGGATAGATGTGATCCATCTTGGACCCCCATCCCAAGGGGATCTATCTGAGTCAATCCCATGACATATTTCCTAAGGACAGTCTCATAGGAAGGCTGTAAGTTTAGTTTGCTATAAATAAAGTGTCCTTCCTTCTTCCTTTTTTTTTCCTTCCAGTTGAAATGAAACATTAAATTTAACTTTATTAGATATAATAAACTCAGGGAACTTATATTCTAATAGGGGTAGCACAATAAATTTAGTAAAATGTAAATTACATTATACATGAGAAGATGGAAAGTACTTTGTGTGGGGAAGTAAATAAGATCTGGATGGGGGAAAATATGGAGAGCATGTGTAATAGGAGGTCAGTGAGGTGGGTCTCATCCAGAAGGTGAGAGACTTGAAGGAGGTGAAGGAGTTGATCAGATGGATATTTGAGGGAAGAGCAGTCCAGGAGGAGAGAATAGGTAGTGTCCAGTCCTAAGGGACGTGCACGCACGACCACTTAAAAGAGAAGCATCATTGTGAATGGAGGTGACCAGGTGAAGGAGAGATACTAGATGAAGTCAGAGGGGTTCCAAGGATGTTGTTGGTGGCAATAAAATGAACTTGTATACATAAAGCACTTAGCACAGGGTCTAGCCCAGATTCCCAGAGCCCCTGCCCACCTCTTCCAGCCACAGCTCTTGCTGCTCCCCATTGCAAGCTCTACCCTGTGTTTATAACCAGAAACTCTGTGAAGATTCCCCAGATATCTGTGCTGTTTTATACCTTTCTGCTTCTTCACATACGTAAAATACCCTTCTCCCACTCCTTATCATTCTGACAGACTCCTTCAAGACCCACTTAAGGCTTTCCTCTGGGAGGACAACATCACTGACTCCCTCTGAGGCAGAGCTTCCTTCTTTGGGTTGCCATGCACCAGGCTTTGAGTATGTGTTTGTTACAGTAACACATAGCTGATGGTAACTGACATTTAATGAGCACTTACTATGTGCCATGCAGTAAATACCTTTACGTGTTTTTAAAATTAATTTCTCACAACAACAACCCTATAAGGTATGCCCTGTTGTCATCTCCATTTTATAGATGAATAAATAAAGCCATGAAGTTTATTGACTTGCCTAAGATCATCCAGCTACTAAGTGGTGGCACCAGGAGTTGATCACAGGTTTCTGGCTTCAGAGCCCATGCCTTCTTAACCATTACATTATACTGCACCTCCACCCTTCCACCATTTTACTATATACAAGTATATATGTACTTATATATGTACATGTACTCATCACACTGTATTGAAAAGTATTAGTTTTGTGCATGTGTCTTCCATAGTGTTTATGACTGCTTTGAGTCACCATGTTGAATTCACCTTTGCTCTTTGGGACTTTGCACATGTGTTCGCTTGTTGAATGGGGAGAATAAAATATTCTCTCATGTAATTTGCAAAGCATGAGAAATAATATTCAAAATGTTAATGATAGTGTGTCATTAATTTTGAAATTTATTTGGTTTTGAGTTTCATTTTAATCATGTTGTTGTGTTTCTGCTTCTCCCTAGACCAGTATTAAAGAGGGACAGCTGTTGAAGCAAACCAGTTCTTTCCAAAGATGGAAAAAGCGGTATTTCAAACTTCGAGGTCGTACACTTTATTATGCAAAGGACTCAAAGGTAATTCGAGAGAATACTAGTTGCAAGCCCTCGAAGGCTGTAGATGGAATTGAAATTTTGGTTCTATAAACTGTTTTTGTCTTGGGGCTCACTGTCATTACTGCTCTGATATAAATTCCATATGAATGTGATTCATCTTGGACCAAATCCCAAGGGGCTCTGTTTGAGTCAGTTTCATGCCATGTCCCCTAAGGACAATCTTATAGGACAGTCCTAGTGCAGTTTTCTTTCTTTCTTTTTTCCTTCCAAGTAAAATGAACAGTTAAGTGTAACCTTATTATATATAATAAACTCTAAATTTGGATTCCCCCCTTTCTTGCTACTTTTTACCCCATAAATCTTTTCCTGAAAATAAGAGAGAGAATTGCTGTAGTTGCTAAGAGTTCATACTCTGGTTTCAGACAAGAGTTTGTATCCCAATTCTAGCACATTCCAGTGGAGTGGCTGTGGACAGCATGTTGTTGAGAGGAGGCTTAAATGAAATTACATACATGAAGTGCTTACATAATACCTGGCACAAAACAATCACTCAATTATTCTAGCATCTAGAAATAAAAATCACAGTGAAACAGAATCAAGGCTTAAATAATTTTTATATACTAATTGAATGAAATAAGAATGATGTAGCTTTGGAAGAAAAAAGTTGTAATGATGAGCTTCCATTTAAAACGGATATTTTGCTGTTCCTTCAAAAATAAACTTTAAGGTGGGTACCCTCAGCTGGCACTGGAGCCCCACCAAAACAGCCCCCTGCCCTGTTAGACCTGGTGGACACCTTTGGCCAACACTAGTGTCCCACTAAAGTGGCTCCTGCCCCAGGGGTCAGCCCCACACACCAGAGCACCCACAACAGTTGCAACTGGGCCTTGCAGCCAGCCACACTGGGGTCCAGCCTTGCGTACAAGCACCCCCTCAGCAAGTGCAGCCAAGCCACAAAGGGGACACTCCTGGAGCATCTGGCCCTGGTAACCAAGGGAGACCATGCTCCTGGGCCCCACAGGATACCTTCTACACAAAGCCACTCTCTCAAGACCGGGGGACGTAGCTGATCTACGCAATATGTAGAAACAAACACAGAAAGTTAGGCAAAATGAAGAAACAAAGGAATATGTTCCAAATGAAAGAACTAGACAAACCCTCAGAAACAGATTGAATGAAATGGAGATAAGCAAACTTCCAGATAAGGTGTTCAAAGTAATGGTCATAAAGATACTCACTGAACTCAGTAGAAGAATAGAAGAGTGAGAATTTCAGCAAAGAGATAGAAAATAATAATGGAAATAAAAAATACACCAGAGGAAACCAACAGCAGATTAGATGACGCAGAAGAGAGGACCAGTGGTCTAGAAGATAAGGTAGTGGAAATCACCCAATCAGAGCAGTAAAAAGAAAAAGAAACCAAAAATTGGATAGTTTAAGGGACATCTTGGGCAACATCAAGTATACCAACATTCACATTATAAGGGTCCCAGAAGGGGAAGAGAGAATGAAAAGGACAGAAAACCTATTTGAAGAAATATGGCTGAAAACTTTCCTAACTTGGTGAAGGATACAGACATCCAGACCCAGGAAGTACAGAGAGACCCAAACAAAGTGAATCCAAAGGGACCCACACCAAGACACATTATAATTAAAATGCCAAAATGTTAAGCTAAAGAGAAAATCTTAAAAGCAACAAGAGAAAAACAACTAGTTACATACATGGGAGTCCCCATAAGACTGTCAGCTGACTTTTCAGCAAAAACTTTACAGAAGGGAGTGGCACAATATATTCAAAGTACTGAAAGGAGAAAACTTATAACCAAGAATATTCTATCCAGCAAGGCCATCATTCAGAATTGAGAGAGAGATAGAGTTTCCCAGACAAGCAATAGCTTGTCTACTTTATAGTTCATCACCACTAAACCAGTCTTACAAGAAATGTTAAAGAAATTTAAACAGAAAAGAAAAAATTATAACTAGAAATATGAAAATTATGAAAGACAATATCTCATCAGTAAAGGCAAAAATATAGTAAAGGTAGTGGATCAACCACCTATATAGCTAGTAAGAAGGTTAAAAAACAAAACTGGTAAAACCATATATATCTACAATAATTAGTTAAGGAATACACAGAGTAAGATAACATCAAAAACATAAAATGGTGGATGTAGTAAAAATGTAGTGCTTTTAGAACATGCTCAAACTTAAGCAACTGTCAACATAAAATAGACTGCTATATACAGAGGTTGTTGTATAAGGACCTCATGGTAACCACAAACCAAAAACTGATAACAGGTATACAAACAATAAAGAGAAAGGAATATAAACATAATACTAAAGAAAATCATCAAATCACAAGGGGAGGGCTTCCCTGGTGGCGCAGTGGTTGAGAGTCCACCTGCCGATGCAGGGGACACGGGTTCGTGCCCCAGTCCGGGAAGATCCCACACGCCACAGAGCGGCTGGGCCCGTGAGCCATGGCTGTTGAGCCTGTGCTCCGCAGCGGGAGAGGCCACCAGCAGTGAGAGGCCCGCGTACCGCAAAAAAAAAAAAAAAAAAAAAAAAAAAAAAAAAAAAACTTTAAATCAAGGGGAGAGAGCAAGAGAAGAAGAAGGGAACAGAGAAGAACAACAAAGATATAACCAGAAAACAATTCACAAAAATGGCAGTAAGTACATACTTATCAAGAATTACTTTAAATCTAAATGGACTAAATGCACCAATCAAAAGACACAGTGTGACTGAATAGATACAAAAAACAAGACCCATATATATGGTGCCTACAAGAGACTCACTTCAGATCTAAAGACACACACAGACTGAAAGTGAAGAGATGAAAAAGATATTCCATGCAAATAGAAATGAAAAGAAATATGGGATAGCAATACTTATATCAGACAATATAGATGTTAAAACAATAGACGTTAAAACAAAGACTGTAACAAGAGACAAAGAAGAACATTACCTAATGATAAAGGGATCAATCCAATAAGAAGATATAACACTACTAAATATACATATGCCCAGCAGAGGAGCACCTGAATATGTAAACCAAATATTAACAGACATAAAGGAGAAACTGACAGTAATACAATAATAGTAGGGGACTTTAACACCCCATTACATTAATGTAATGTAATCATTAGATGATTCAGACAGAAAATCAATAAGGAAACACTGGCCTTAAATGACACATTAGACTCGATGGGACTTAATAATATATACAGGACATTCCACCCCATAACAGCAGAATATACATTCTTTTCAAGTGCACATGGAACACTCCAGGACAGATCTTATATTAGGCTACAGATCTCAATAAATTTTAAAATACTGAAATCACATCAAGCATCTTTTCTGACCACAACAGTATGAGACTAGAAATCAACCGCAAGAAAAACTGGAATAAAACTCAAACACATGGAGTCTGAGCAACAAACTCAGTAACAACCAATGGGTCACTGAAGAAATCAAAGAGGATATCAAGAAATACCTTCAAACAAATTAAAATGGAAACACAGTGTTCCAAAATCTTTGGGACTCAGCAAAGGCAGTTCTAAGGGGGAATTTGATAGTAATACAGGCCTACCTCAGGAAACAAGAAAAATCTCAAATAAACAATCTAACCTTACACCTAGAGGGACGAGAAAAAGAAGAATAAACAAGTCCAGAGTTAGTAGAAGGAAGGAAATAGTAAAGTTACGAGCGAAATTAAATGAAATAGAGACTAAAAAACCCCACAAAAACCTAAAAGCAGGTTCTTTGGAAAGATAAATGAAATTGATAAACCTTTATCCAAAGTCATCAAGAAAAAAAGAGAGAGAGCCAAATAAATAAAATCGGAAATGAAAGAGAAGTTACAACTGACATCACAGAAATACAAAGGATCACAAGAGGTTACTATGAAAACTATATACCAACAAATTGGACAACCTGGGAGAACTGGATAAATTTCTCAAAACATACAATCTTCCAGAACTGAATCAGGAGGAAACAGAAAATCTGAACAGACTAATTAGTAGTAATGAATATAATGAAATATTAGCCATAAAGAATGAAATCTTGCCATTTGCAACAACATGGATGAACAGAGAAGGTATTATGCTGAGTGAAATAAGTCAGACAGAGAAAGACAAATACCATACAATCTCACTTACATGTGGAATCTAGAAAACAAAACAAATGAACAAACAAACCAAAACAGAAAGAGACTTACAGATACAGAGAACAAATGGGTGGTTGCCAGAGGGGAGGGTTAAATGTCCTGGGGATTTAATATATAGTATATGGAATATAATTAATAATATTGTAATAATTTTGTATGATGACAAATGGTTACTAGACTTATCATGGTGAGCATTTGATGGTGTATTTGATTGTCAAATTACTATGTTGTACGCTTGAAACTAACATAATATTGTACGTCAACTATACTTCAGTTTAAAAATATTAAGATTTATTGTTACTGTGGCAGTAGGATAATCGATCATTTCTATATTAAAAAACACGTGTTTGTGATATACTTAGTAGAGTAATACACCAGGAGGTAAAAAATAAATAAATAAACAAACAAACATAATTCTTAGTTTATGCAGCTGTGGAGGTAATAACAAAATAGAATAATCTTATTTTAAAAGTCATTATGTTCATGGTTATCCCTGATCTGGCTCCATTCTGACCTCTCACATTTATCTCCAGACAGCACTGACCACTCGATAGTCTCCCGCCTCGCCCCATGTTTTCCATCCCCAGGATGATTTTTCCTCTATCTCTACTTAAAGAAATTCCCTATTTTCTTTAAGGTCCCCCTAAAATTGTCTTCATTCCATTATTCACAAGAGAAAGCATTTGTTTTCTGCTGTGACCTTCCATAGCATTTTGTAGTGTCTGCTCTTCCACTTTTAATAGTCTCCCTTACTTAAAACTAGTTGTGTCTATTTCAGCTCCCATGCTAGATTATAAATTCCTTGTAGTCAGGGAACAAGTCTTACGGTCAGATTGGTTGGGTTGGAGTAGAGTTGCATAACCCCCTGGAGATCTTGGGGGGTGGTAAAAGTTATTAGATAAGGGAGCCTCTTTTTCTAGCAGTCCTAGAGGAGTGGTGTTATACCTGCCTCACTGGAAGAACATCGAATGACTGCGAACAAGGACCAGCTGACTCAAAGTGGGAAGGATACATTTATTTACTAGAATTTCCTAATTTCTCAATTGTCCATTTTAAAGATTTTATTTCTGTGGAGTTTTTAACACTGAAACTTTTTTGATTAAAATCACTTTTAAGCATAAAAAAGAAAATAAATGTTGGAGCCAGCAAAATAAATAAATAAAACTTCTTTTAAGAGTATAAAAGAAATGTCATCTTATATTTGCAGAGCACATGCACCATCTCATTTGAACACATTTACAGATGAGGAAGGTCACGTTCAAAAAGTTCAGTAACTGTCCGTGATCTGAGCCAGGACTAGTTCTCATTGTGGGGAGTGTGTGAGTATGTGTGTATGTCATACACTGAGTAGTAGGTTTCCCATAAACGATGCTTCTGGAGAGCACAGAGCATTTTTCAATGAAACAATATGCCAGGGGAGTTCTTTAAAGTCCTTTACAGTTTGGAATTTATGTGTTTGTTGAACTTTATGGTTTTACTCACCAAGCATCAGTAATTTCAGTTTTTTCTTCAGTTTTTCTTTCCCATTCCTGACATAGCTTCATGGTCATGATGTCACGGTAAAAAAAAAAAAAAAATACTAAGGAGCATTCAGTTAGGTTTGCACTTGACATGTTTGTGTTCTTTTTCATTAACAGTCTCTGATATTTGATGAAGTTGACCTCTCAGATGCCAGTGTAGCTGAAGCAAGCACAAAAAATGCTAACAACAGCTTCACGGTATGGTTATACTCTGGTAACTCCCCCCTCAAAAGATATAGAATGATCTTTCGTGAGCTTGTACTGAACGCCCTCTTTAATTGCCAGCTGTGTGTCACACGTGTTGGAGTTCTCACCAAGAACAGTAAACTTGATAAGTACATTGTAGACGCTAACACCCAATGTGTCATGATTGTTTGGGTCAATAAACCAATGTCTTAAATGTATTTTTTTTAAGTATTTATATAGTTTTCTTTTTAGACCTTCTAATTTTAGTGCCTTAAAATTTTCACCTCCCTTTAATGTTCAACTAATTCCGCTGTTCTTAAATATTCAAAAAGTTTGGTTTTTTACCTTCAATCTTAAAAATAATATTTTCTCCTCTCAATCTACAGTTACTCTAGTTGCTGTAGTTCAGGCCTTCGTTTCTTCTCACTTAGGTAATTCATCTGGCAGCTATTTAAAGAAGTGTCCTCTGTTTCAGTTAATTTTTTTCCAATTGCAAATCACATTGCTTAAAAGACCTCACTGGCTCGCCATCGCCTGTCAGCTTGCATCTGTAACTCTGCCGTAAAGTCCTGTAAAATCCTTCCTCAGCATTCTAGCATACTGATAATTATTCGTCCTTATACATCCCACCAGTCTAGCAGTTCTGTCTGAACCTAATGCTTTTTCCATTCCCTCTGACTTAAATGATCCCTCCTCCATCAACAGCTGTTGAAATTCTACCAATTCTTCAAAGCTTATCTCAGATATCCTGTACTTTTTCTACTTCTTTGATTACAAAAATATGAGTTAAATATGAATTGAGGATCCACCATGTGCTAGGCACTCATGCTAATAAATACAAGGGATTCAGAGAAAAAAAATATACACACACACACACACATATATATATATATATATATATATATATATATATATATATATCACTTCCCTCAAGATATTCATGGTGTAGTTCAGTGAAGTTCATCTGGGATTCTTTTTCTTAAAAGAATATTTAAATATTTATTTATTTTTTTGGTTGCACCAGGTCTTCGTTGCAGCAGGTGGGCTCCTTAGTTGCAGCTCCCGGGCTCCTTAGTTGTGGCTCGCCAGCTCCTTAGTTGCAGCACGTGGGCTCCTTAGTTGCAGCATGCATGTGGGATCTAGTTCCCTGACCAGGGATCGAACCCAGGCCCCCTGCTTTGGGAGTGTGGAGTCTTATTCACTGTGCCACTAGGGCGGTCCCTGGGATACTTTTACAGCTACATTTTCCTTAGGTCCTCTCAGGTGCATTGTTCTTGCTAGGTCGCTGACCCCTTCCACACTTCCTAGCCCCTGCCCTAGGAAGCTTTCCACTATGGACAGCAGTGTTTTGTGTTCATCCCCTAGGCGTGCCAAGGCAGGGAGGACAGACAGATAAACAAATACAGAGCAGTGCCATGATGGAGGTAAGCCCTGGTAAGGGTAGGGGATGGAGAAGCAGCAAATGAGTTCAGATTTAGTCATTGATTTATGGGCATGTGCGATAATTCATGCTGTGAATATTCCTCCCGCACCCCCTCCCCAGGGACAGTTGAGTTTGAGAAGAGAGAGGACAGCCAAGAATAGAATCCTGGGCAAAAGTTAAAATGTAAGTTTTGACCAATAAAGACTGAGAGAGAGCATTCTGTAGTATAGAGGAACATCAGGAGGCAGTGATTTATAAAAAGCCAGTAGAAGGGAGTTTCAAGACGGAAGTTGTTAAACATCAAATGCTATAGAGGTCAAGTCAAAGAAGAAAGGAAAAGTGTCTGTTGAATCTGTGAATCAGGAGGTCATCTGGTCACACTGATGTGAGTAGTTGCAGTGGAGGGTGGCACACAGTAGACTTCATGGCGAATGCTAAGTGGAAAGGCAGAGGGAGCCAGCACGGACTCCTTGTCCTACAAGTTTGGCGGTTAAAAGAAGGAGCAGGGCTTCCCTGGTGGCGCAGTGGTTGAGTCCGCCTGCCAATGCAGGGGACACGGGTTCGTGCCCCGGTCTGGGAGGATGCCACGGAGCGGCTGAGCCCGTGAGCCATGGCTGCTGAGCCTGCGCGTCCGGAGCCTGTGCTCCGCAACGGGAGAGGCCACAACAGTGAGAGGCCCGCGTACCGCAAAAAAAAAAAAAAAAAAAAAAAAAAAAAAAAAAAAAAAAAGGAGCAGACGTATACAACAAGAATGTTTAGGTTTGAAGAGGCAATTCTGGTTTTGTTGTTGTTGAGGATCTTTTGCTTTGTTTTTAAAATGAATTTTGAGTTGTCTATATGAAGAGAGGAAAGAATTGTTAGAATCAAAAGCTGAAGCTGCAGGAGAGAAAGGGAATAATTGTTGGAGCACGATTGCTGAGTAAACTGCAGGGGGTGGGACCCAGAGCACAGGTTAAGAGGTTAGCCTCGAATGGGAGACAGAAGGTTTATGGAAGTAGGTGTGGTCAGGTAGTTCATATATTTCAAACCCAAACACTACTCTTTTCTCAGTGAAATTGCAGATTAGGTCATATGCTATGAATAAGACTTTAGGAAGGTTTGGAGGAGCTTCTATAGAAAATAAGAATCGAAACTGAACAGGGACCAATAGAAGATTACTACGTAGTAAATAGTGTCCACCAGAGATTGGAGATAAGTAATGTTCTTAATTCCTGGGCCTATAGCATTTTCTTAAAGGTAGGAGTAAAGAAAAACAACTAAATTGGCCCAGGATTGATGATTTATAGGGCATACTGGACAGAAAGATAAAAAGGGATTGTTGGATGTTTGAGGGATCAGTAACTGATCCATCTTCCCCCTCTGAGTTCTCAGTTTTTGAGAATGGAGCATAAGGAATACGGGATGACTTTATTAATGGCTGAACAGGATCCAGTAACCACTAAGTACAGAGCTTCTGATAAGTTGTTGGAGGCCGGAGGGCAAAATGTTGCTTATTCTTCCTTCCTCCCAGGTGAAGGTCAGGTAAGGCGATTAACCTATCGGATTAACCACTTGTCTTCCCTGGGAAGTGAGCAATAGTTTTCTCCCCTCTGTGGAGACTCGTGGTGGGGTTGTGGATAAGGGGTTCTCCCCGACAAGGATCTAGAGTTCAGTCTGAGTGAGGGTTCCGAAATTTAAGATTTGGGAGAGGTTATTCAAATCCTTCGTACAGCTCTTTCTTGGACCTCCACCTGCATGCAGTCTCTCCTTTCGTACCTTCTCATAGAACTTACTATATTCCGCCTTGTGTTTGGCTAAGTACTTATGTTTCTTATAACCTCCTTGAGGATAGGGACACTGTTATACATTTGTATCTCATAGTACTTTATCCATAAGTATTTGTTGATTTTAATTAATAAGATGAAAGTTCATTTTGGGCATGAGGAGACTTTTTCGTTGAAATATTTTCAAGAAATTTCCAATGTTTCACTCAACCAAACTTCGTTTCTGAAGTTTGTTGGACGAGAAATGCGAGACTAAGCTGTTAGGCAGATTGCTTAGAGGTTTATAGCAAATCAGTTTGGTAGAACTTTCCAGGGTACAAAATGGAATAAGAGGTATGTTTTCAACCAGTAATTGACAATCCTCCCTATCTTTAAATATTTAAATGTTCCACCTTCCTGGGTTCCAGTGACTGCTGCTCGTGGTGTTATTTTGGCCAGTTCGTGTCAGAGGTTAATGGTGTAGTTTGGTGGTGTTATGGCTGGGGAATCCAGCGACAGCTGAATTCTGCCTCATTACAGCCACTACTCTTTGCCTTGAAGTCCCTAAGGATGATATATTGACAAGTGATAATAGTAAATGGAAAATCTATAATTAGTAAATGGAAAGTGGAAAAGCTGTGCTTTACCCAAAAAACCCAGTGTCAAACTCTAGTAAAATGGGTTCTACAGGGAGTGTTCTGGAGAGCAGGGCAGAAACTGACTTAGCTGGGGAAGTCATTCTGTGGTTATGAGCAAGCACTGAGACTGACTGAACTTCCAGAGGAGGGGACACAGACATCTTGAGGGTGGTGTCAAAGGATCTACAGACATGGTTATACCTACACGATGATTACTTTTAAACAGGCCTATGCTCCCATCCCTGGAGTTAATAATTGTCTTGTTTTTTGGGTTGTCTAAATTGCCTCAGGTATTGTATTAGTTTTCTGTTGTTTCGTAACAGATTAGTGGCATAAAACGATGCCTGTTTATTATCTCACAGTGTCCGTTGGTTTCACAGAATAGCTGGATTCCTCTGCTCCAGGTCTCACAATGTCAAAATAAATAGATATGATAAATTAAATACACACACATGCACGTGCACATACATATATACTTTTTAATTACCCTACATTGGGCTAATTTTGACCTAAGTTTGCATTTCTGGTTTTACAAGTGTCTTCTGCAGTAGGCAACAACAACAAAACCTACTAACGTTGAATGCATTTTCTGTGATGTTAGGTGTCAGTGATGTGATCGGGGAACAGAAGAGAACAGTTCCAGACAGGCTTATTGGCATTTTATGAGTGTTTAGGTTAATGTTCACAATTAATTTATTTGTAGTTTAAAATTCTACCATGACATTTTCTATGACTGTGGAATCAGTGAAACATTCTTAATTTTTTTTGTCCATTTTTAATTGTTTTCTTTTTTCTTTTATTGATATTTGCATGGTGTTTCGGAGTTTTATTTTCACTTTAACCTTTTTATCTTTAACATACCTCTGTGCTGTATGTGAATGTGCTCTTCTTATATTAAACTAGAGAGAATTGATTTCCCTTTGGTCATACTGTTGCCCCCCAGGGAAGGGATTGCAGATCTCCTGTTTAACTCAGGGCTCTTTCCTATTGCACAGTATTCTTTCCGTCTGTATAGACTTTGCCTCTGTTCTCTTTCTTCTCACATCCACAGCTCTCTTTGTCTCTTTCTCACTAATCATGGCATGTCTATCCCCAGCTTTTATTTAATTTTCCCAGTTGCAGAGCTTAAGACTGAAGTCAAACAGCCGGGGATTGGGTCGTGGCTTGGCCGTGTCTAGTTAGGTGACCCTAGACAAATTAGTTAACTGC